TCATATCCCACCTGGACTGGGTTGGAAGGCCTGGGCGTGCCAGGCAGAGGTCTGAGAGAAACGATGCCACCTGCGTATCAAAGGGGAGCTTTCTGGGCCCCACAGAGATTCCGGTTCACTGGCCTGTAAAGGGGCCCAGATATCGGTATTTTCAAAAGCCTCCTGGCGGAATTCTCGTGCGTAACGAGGACTGAGAACCACTGCTTCAAATGCCAATAATTATGACAGGTGACGCCGCTGACCACTGTGGTGCTGACTGGACCAGAGCAGGGACCAGAGGAGGTAGACAGAAACAAGGTAACAAGCCAGGAATGCCTCCTGCTTGACTCAGGAGGGTCTCCCCTGCACTACAGTTCTGCACCCAATGCCAATGGGGTTGGGGGATGTCCCTCACCACCAAGCAATCCTCCACCACCACCAGCTGGGTGTCCTAGTATTCAACTCAGTTCTGCCACTATCTACCTGGAGATGACATCAGACCCCACAGGTTAAGGGCTCAGGACTGCTACCACCCCCCACTTCAGACACCAACTGCAAGTCGAGGTTGTCACCTGGTGACAACCAACATGCTGTCTGACCAACGGGCTATGGAAGGAGGGTTCCCACGACCCCCTCCTTGGGTCCTAGCAATATCAGTCTGCCAGACTGGCTCAAGGAATTAAGAGAAACATTTTACTTACTAGATCAGGCTTATTATAAGAAGACCTAACTCTGGAATAGCCAGATGGAAAACACGTATAGGGCGAGGGACGGGGAAGGGACCCGGAGCTTCCATTCCCTCTATATGCCACTATGCCTGCATCTCGACACCTCACCAACCCAGAAGCTGTCCCCAGCCCACCCCTCAACCTTTTGGGTTTTCACAGCGGCTTCATTACACAGGCAGGACAGAATGAATCACTGGCCTTGGGTGACTGAACTCAATCTCCAGCCCCTCTCCTTTCCGCAAGGTCAGAGGGTAGGACTGAAAGCTCTAAGGCTCCCATATCAAGGTTGGTTCCCCCAGCAACCAGCTCCCCACCTTAGGTGACTTAGGGTCTTTTCCAAAATCACCTCATTAACATAACAAAAGACACCTTAGCGAGCTCCTCACTTAGGAAATTCCAAGACTTTCAGGAGCTCTGTGCCAGAACCAGGACACAGACCAAATATGTGTTGCTTATTATAAGTCACAATGTCACAAGCACCAAAGGATATCCGGGCATCATGGACCTCGATGATACAGTCCACCAGCTTTAGGCTGCTCTGCATCTTCTTCAGCCCTGGAAAACAGAAGAAGGACGCTTAAGGGAAGAAAGGGGTCCATGGCCTTTTAAGAGAGGTAGAAGATTTAAGTTGAACTGTCAAGAATGACACACCATCATAAACAACCTAAAATGAATACATCTGAGTGCAGTGCTCTATTAAACAATAACTGTGTCTCCTTCAAATTCAACCCTGGTGGCTGAGGAGAGAAAGTTCAGGTCCCTGCCTGAGGGACACCTGCACATCACAGGGTAAGGTCAGAGCCCATCCGTCTACACCACTTCCACAAGTGGGCGACTCTAGGTGGAATATTTAACCTCTACGGGTCTTTATCTATAAAGCAGAGAAACACTGACTAATTGACTCATGGGGCCCTCAATACTGTGTGGAGATGACGATGGTGTAGGTACCAACCTGAGCCACTCACCCTGGACGACGCACACACAAGGCACTGAACTCACCCCGCACTAGGAACACAACAATGCTCCTCTTCTGCGGCTCAGCAGTGACACCGCCCCTCAGCCTCCCCTCCCACAGCCAAGCCCTGTCATTTATGCACATCCTCAGACATCTCACCTCACCCCACATGCCGCCCCCCGCGGGCGCCCCGTCCCTCCCGAGCACCGACGCGCGGAGCACCCGTCACCGAGCCTGGCAGAGCAGGCGCCAAAGGGGGCGGGAGCAGGGGGAGCGTGGCAATCCGTCACACGGGGAAGGGCTGGACCCGTCCTACATGTCTTCTTGGGGCCAAACTTTGACAAATGAACGGTAAGAAACTCCCAGAGAGGTTTGGGCAGAAGACAACAAACTCGATCTACGTCTCAAAGGTTTTGAGGTGACTGAATAGCTGAATACAACTTGTAAAGTGCTTTCCTACCCCTACTTCATCTAGTCTCCAAAGTAACGTCAGGAATTTATCTTTTCCAAAGCAGATGTGTAAACTGAGGCTTCAGGAGCCGAGTGGCAGAAGGGCCTTACGACCCCCGCCCTCCCCGCTCGCAGGCGACCCGCGAAGAGCCGGGTAAACAGCGTGGGCCCCGCCGCGTCTCGCCGGACCTCACCCTTGGCCATGTGGCCCGGGAACCAGCGCGCCACGTCGCGACCGTCTAGGGGGAAGCTCTCCCGCCAGGCGGCCCGGGCGGCGCCGCACAGCGCGCGCGTGCTGAGCCTCATGGCGCCGCGTCCCGAGCTCCGCGCAGCGCCGCGGACCGCTCCATCAACGGACTTCTCCGCCGGGCCCGCGACCCACACAAGGGTTCCGACGCTCCAAGCTTCCGCAGCGCGGCCCGCGCGTGCGCGAACGACTCTGCCTCTAGCGGCGGACCCCGAGAGGGGGCGGGGGCCCGTGGGCGGGGCTATGAGCCAGGGGCGTGGCTCCGAGCCAGAGGCGGACCCACGCAGTCCCGGGGGTTATCGGGGTCCAGGGTTCAGTAATTCATTAAATTAAAAAATCCTGGTTCTTCCTAAGCGTATCCTGAGCATAAGTAACAAAATTTAGCAGTCCGCTGTCAGTTTGGTCCCTTTTTACAAACTTTGTCAAAATTTTTCAGATATTTAACATTTAACTTACAAGTGTAACATCCTTTTCTAAGTACTCTGGATTTTAATGTAACAAACAAACCTTTGCAAAAACTGACTGCAGTTCTGCTAAATTAAACCTATTAGTACAAACAGCCTCAAAATTCCCTTCACTGTCCCAACACTCTGTATAAATGTAGTCAGATTCTAACTTTTTTTTTTTTTTTTTGGCCGCGCAGCATGGCTTGCAGGATCTGAGTTGTGCAACCAGGGGTTGAACCTGGGTCATGGCAGTGGGAGCCCAGAGTCCTAACCACTAGGACACCAGATTTTAACTTTATACCTCAAGTCTGAGTAACTACTGACTGCACTTCGAGTTACAAGAGTATGACAATAATGTAATTTTTTATTTTATTTTATTTTATTTTTGTCTGCGTGGGGTCTTCGTTGCTGCACGTGGGCTTTCTCTAGTTGCGGCGAGCGGGGGCTACGCTTCATTGCAGTGCACGGGCCTCTCACTGCAGTGGCTTCTCTTGTTGTGGAGCACGGGCTCTAGGCATGTGGGCTTCAGCAGTTGTGGCAAATGGGCTCAGTAGTTGTGGCCAACGGGCTCTAGAGCGCAGGTTCAATAGTTGTGGCACACAGACTTAGTTGCTCTGTGGCATGTGGGATCTTCCCGGACCAGGGCTCGAACCCGTGTCCCCAGCATTGGCAGGCGGATTCTTAATCACTGCGCCACCAGGGAAGCCCTAATGGAATTTTTTAAACAAGCTCCTAAAACTCCAAAGATGCTCAGATTCTCAGCACAAAGATATCACTACTGTCATCTTGATGGCCTTAAACCTCCTAATACTCAGAGCTAATGGTTCCTGGGGCTGAGACAAGCCCTCCAGGTGCCTGACTGAGACCATCTGGGCCTCCTGCCAGGCCTCCCAGCACCCCTCCTGAGCCAGCCCAGACAGCCTGAGTCCTGCACCCAGACTCATGAAACGTGAGACGTCAACAACACAGAACTCTGTGCCTGATGCACGCTGTGTTCTTCCATGGCCCTAGGACCAAAGAATGAAAATAAAAACCCTCCTGAAGCCCAGATTTCTCTCAGCTGTCTGACAGGCAGGTGCCCCAAGTGAGACAACTCCAGGGACACAAAGCAGTGGACACACAGACAGACCTCTGGGGGCAGAGGGAAGGTCCCTGGGAGGGCGATTTGACCCAAGATGAGAAGTCAATAAGAAGGTGCCAGGATGAAGGATGGAGGGCGTGTCTGGCACCACGGCCCAGAGCCTGGCCACTTGGGGCTGAAGAGAAGCCCAGAGGCAGTTCTCCAGGCATGCATATACTCCTCCAGGGAGCCAGGGCCCCAACCCAAAGCAGGACACACCCTGCAGCCCAAGGTCTGAGGAGGGTCAGGAGCCACTGACCTCGAGGTAGGTGCCAGGCCAGTGGGCGCCAGGCCGGTGGGCGCCAGGCTGGTGGGCCCCGTGCCTGCCACATGGAGTCCCAGCCTCTGCAGCTCCTGCACCTCCCTGCACAGGCTAGCTTCCAGCTGCACCGCCTCCCCGGGATGGTCCTGGAAAGATGCCTAAGCTCTGCCGTGGCAGCCATGAGACTGGCCATTGCCACCCTCACCTGAGGCTTCTGTCCTTTCCTCAGCTGTGAGATGGGGGCCGTGCAGCCCATTCCCTGGGGCTCTGAGGATGCAGCGAGGGAAGATGAGAGAAGCTGAGCACAGCACCCAAGCCCCCGATACACTCCCCACCATCTACCCAATCACTGCCCAGGAGACCCTGACACGCTCACCCCAGCACCGCCCAGGGCACCCTCACACGCTCACCCCAGCGCCGCCCAGCGCACCCTCACACGCTCACAGCAATGCCGCCCAGGGCACCCACTCCTCTGCACCCTTCAGGCCTCACTGTTCACCTCCTCCAGAAAGCCCTGGGCCCTCGGGTCAGAAAAGGGTGCCCCCTCCCCCGCACACTCCTGTCTCACACTCACTGGCCCTCGCCCAGACCGTAGGGCAGCCAGTGCCTGAACAACGGGGAGGTCCACTGGCTCTGCTGCCACCAGCAACGAGAATTCAGACACCCGTGAACACACCCAGGGTCCAGGGTGGCCGGGGTAGGCGGGCCACGTGCTGGGGGCACAGGGCCCTGCAGTGACCGGAGCCCGGGGCACGATGAGGACAGAGCAACCCATGCTGCAGCTCCGAGGCATAAGGACGACTCTGGACAAAGGACACTTTTACACAGTTTATGTTCTTCCAACCGCATCAGCAGCAGCATCCCACCCCTCCCTTCTCCAGGAAGACTTCGCACTCAGCTCAAGTTCAGCCCTGGCCGGACTCCAGCGACGTGGGAAAGGAGGGAGCTGACCCCAGTGACATTAACATCCCAAATCCCAAGCCCGACTGAACCTTGTCCATCAAAGGAAAGGGTGGGGCCAGCCTCCCCGGGACCCGGGAACTGGGGGAGCAGAGCCGAGCTCAGAGCCGGGCTCAGGCCGCTGTGCCTGCGAATCCCACAGAGCGATGAGCCGGTCAGCCTCCCTCCAGCCGGACAGCAGAGCTCCGTGCGTGGTGGAGTAAAACGTCCGGTGTGTGGCTTCCCCTGCAAACAGGACCTGGAGCTGCAAAGAAGGGTGGGCTTAGGGTGGGTGCCAGGGGTCGGCCACAAGCCTCACACGCTCCTCCCCAAACACAGAGCGAAAAACCAAAAAGACAGACATCAGCAGGAAAAAGATAAGAAAATTCAAGGGCCAACTCAGAAGCCCACCATCCAACCAGAAATCCAGAAAAAGAAAAAGGAAAAAAAAAAAAACCACGGTGAGGTAATTCAAGAGCATCCCAGACGAGTGAATATGTGCCAGAAGGCAGCGCCGCTGGGCTCAGAGTGAGCGTGAGTGTGGGGCTTCCTGCTCATTCAAGCTTCCTCAGAGATTTGAAAACCAGGTGACACAGGGAAGAAAGGCATCAGAACGGCCTCAGGCTTCCAGCAGCAACGCTGGAGAACGTCTTCAAAACCCTAAGGGACATGGCTCTCCAAGCAGCATTTACACCCAACGTGGGGCTTTACACGGCTGTGAATCCTCGGACACTCCTCCCACAGAAAGTGCAGTCTGTGTCCGGCCCCTTGAATCTGGGCGGGTTCCTGACCACTTTGTCCAGCAGGTGTGGCAGGAGTGGTGCTTCCTGACTTCCCAGCTCCGTCACTGGAGCGATGCAGCTGCCCCTCCCCAGAAGGCCTGCGCTGGAGCCCCAGGCGGCCACAGGGCAGCGTGACGGCCACCACTCTGTGAGGAAGCCACATGGAGAGGCCTGGGGCAGGTGCTCCAGCCAGCGTCCCAGCCATGCTCAGGACAGACATGAGAGAGGCAGCCTCAGATGACCCCAGCCCCAGCCCTGAGTCACCCCAAGCCCGTCATCTTCCCAGCTGAGACCCCAGATGTCGTGGGGCAGAAACAACCGTCCCACGGTGCCCACCTACAGAATCCATCGGCCCAGAGAAGTGGTTGTTTCCACTGCTGGAAAAGAAACAAAGGCACCCTTGCCAGCTCAGGTGTGGAGAGTGCCCACGGCAAACAGGCTGTGTCAACAGTGAGTAGCAGTCTTAGCAAAATTACTGCGGCACACCTTGGAGGGTGGGGAGAGGTCTGAGGGCTGGGTGGGCAGATGAGTGCAAGAAAGCTAAAACTTTATGTGCCGTGGTGAGAATTCAATCAGTAATTCTTAAAACTGAAAAATCAAAGAGCACTTAGAGGGACTTCCCTGGCGGTCCAGCGGTTAAGACTCCGCGCTTCCAGTGCAGAGGGCGCGGGTTCGATCCCTGGTCGGGGAACTAGGATCCCACGTGCCTCGAGGCGCGGCCAAAAAAGAAAAAGGCTTAGAAAACTGAACACAGAATGTTGGATGATGTGGAGCAACTATTGTGGATTTTTAAGTGTGATAACAGTGCTGTGTCCTTGATCTTTTAGAGACGCACACTGAAATATCTGCAAATAAAATGACATCACCTGTGGGACATGCCTAGTAAAGGTATGGGGGAGGCCAGGGCAGTGAGACACCAGGAACAGACAGCTGTGAAGCTGGAGACAGGAACCCAAAGGTTCTGCCAACCTTTGTAACACTTAAAGTTTTACACAGTTAGATGTTTTGTAAAAAGTGGTAGCACTATAATGGAAAAGAACCTGAGAAAAAATACGTGTGTGTGTGTGCGTATCTGACTCACTCTGCTGTACACCTGAAACTAACACAACAATGTAAATCAACTATACTTCGATTTTATAAAATGGCTTTAAAACAGTGGTAGCACAAGCCTGTTACTTAGAGCAGAATCAGCCTGAAGAACAGTCTGGGAAGGGGCAACGGCCCCCCAGCAGGGTGCTGTATTTTGTTTATTTCATTTTGTTAGCCAGCACCATAGAATCCTCTGACGCTTTAAGCCACATGTATGTATAATTCTGATAAAAATAACACATTGTAAAATTACTGTTAGTTTCAAAAAGAAAATGGACTCTGAGTCTCGGGGCCCCAGCCCCCCACTTGATCGCACCCAGTATCCCTGGCCTTCGTGGGACCTATCCCGGGCCCTGGGCCTTCAGCGGGACCCCAGTGCCCTCGCCAGGCAGCTGCGTCCTACCTGGGCACCCCTGCCGTCCGCAGGGAGAGGCTGGGCTAGCAGGTCCAGGTCGTCCCCGGAGCTGCCCACAGCCACATAGCTGTAGGAGCCCCGGGTGTATGGGGCACTGTGCCAGCGGGACCTCAGCACACTCCTGGGCGCGGGGAGCCGGGGATTCCCTAGACCAAGAGACACTCGCATTAACAAGGAGCCTCTGGGACTTCCCTGGTGGCGCAGTGGTTAAGAATCCGCCTGCCAATGCAGGGGACATGGGTTCGAGCCCTGGTCCGGGAAGATCCCACATGCCGCGAGCAACTAAGCCCGTGCGCCACAACTAGTGAGCCTGCGCTCTAGAAGAGCCCATGCTCCTCATCAAGAGAAGCCACCGCAATGAGAAGCCCACGCACCGCAATGAAGAGTGGCCCCCGCTCGCCGCAACTAGAGAAAGCCCACGCAGCATCGAAGACCCAACGCAGCCGAAAGTAAATTAATTAATTAATTAAAAAAACAACAACAACAGCAACACCAAGGAGCCTCTCACCTTAAGGACTCTTAGCAGCTAAAAGCGAGAGATACTGCCCGGGAGAAAACCAAGGCCCAGAGGGTGTTAGTAAGGGGCTCCCCGCATGAGGCCCTAGAAGCAGAGCCCCCGACGGGCACCGCCGCCTTTCCCAAGCCTCAGCGTCTTGTCTGTGAAGCTCTGATTAGGGACAACTGTGTTCATCTTGGTGGCAAATTTTAGAAAAGAGAAGTGGGAAGTGTCCCTCAGAGACAAGAACTCTTAGTGACGCACTAATGGGAAGGACAGTCCCCAGACACTCAGGGCTGAACCCAGTTCCTGTCTGGTGAGAGGTCTGGTTCCTGTCAGAGACCAGCCACCAGGGCAGGAGGCGGCATGGCCCCTGCAGTCGGTACCTGTCACCCTGCGGAGCACCTGTGTCAGAGACAGGAGCACGTCCTCGTCCGATAGCGTCTCCATGAACTCAGACTCGAGCCCTGCGATGAAGCCGCAGAGCACCTGGCTGGCCCTGCTGGAGAGAAGCAGCGCTGGGACCAGACCCGCAACACCCAGACGGCCTCCACCAGGGCCAGTGGCTCCGCCAGTGTGGCCGTGAACTCCCAGGGCCCCTCGACATGGGGTCTGCAAGGTCAGAACTCTCGGGGCACTAAGACGATTCCTTCTGTCTCCACAACTGAGCGCCGGTGGGGACGGCCACCCCCAGCACCTTCGGGGACTCAACAGAACCTATGAACAGAGCCGGTGGCTTCCCTGCCACCCACACGCACTGGGAAACGCCCCACCACTGCAGTGTCCCGTGAGGCAGCGAGTCACTAACTGTATCAAGTCCTGACCCTCGGGTGCGTGTCTTCCTAATACCCCGCGTGACGGGCCGGAGGGGACGGGGCACACCATGCGGACCCTGGCTCGGCTGCCAGGGGCATTCGGGCCTGGGTATCTGGCAGACACTTTCTTGTAAATGAGCAAAGTGTGTCTCTTACAAGGAAAACAACTGCAAGTATTTATTACACGTTCCAGGTCCCAAGAGATGCTGACAAGCAGCACACAGTGGGTCTCCATCTGTCCCTGCACGGGGTGGGCCCAGGGTGTCTGTCTCACCACTCAAGGTGCCCTTGGGATCCCTACCCATTCCAACTCTCCAGAAACACCTCACAGAGAATCGACATAGCGCTGGACCCCACGCAGAGCTCACACCAGGTTTCCTTGGAGAAACCTGGGAAGAGCACGTACCCAAAGGAAGGCAGGACCCAAAAGCCAACAAGCTTCTTGAACCAGGCATCCTGCAACTTGGGGGCGGCGTCCTCCAGGGGCGACGTGTCCCTCCACACCACCTGGATGTGCTGGCAGTCTGGCTGCCAGAAAGGCTCCTCAAACTCCAGGAAGATTTTATTGTTGGTCCCAAAGCCTATTTTCCTGATCGCTTCCGCCTTCTCGGTGGGCAGCGGTGGCTCAAAGAAGGTGTCCAGACGTTCTTTAAGAAAACCTGGAATTCATAAGTAGACTCGGTTTACACCACGTCAATCGCTTAAACCAGAACTGATAGCCACAGGAAGGCACCCTGACCCCGTCACAGGAGTCAGAGAAAGAGGTGTCTGGGACCCACGCAGGCTGGCCATCGGGAATCCTGGCCAGCACCTCAGCGGAGGGACACAACAGGCCCCCTGAACACCTGGCCAGGCAGGAACAGGTCACATGGCCCCCGGACTCCTCTGTGGGGACAGTTCTCCCCCCTGAGCCTTCTGCCTCTCAGTCTGCCCGGGGTTAGCTTGGAGGGGCAGCGAGACATACCGGCTTTACCCAGAAGCCACCTGAAAATTAAGCAGGTTCAGCCCAAAGTCAAACCGCGAGGAGATGAAACATTCGCAGCACAAGCCAACCTCGCAGGTCTGCAAGAAAAGGACGAACAACCCCACAGGAAACAAGGCACCAGCCGTGAGCATCCACAGAGGGGACCGTCCCTCCACGGCCGCCCTCTCAGTGCAGAGCTTCAACTCAGTAGTTCCTGCTACTGGAATTGATCCTACACATATGCGCCCACAAGTGTTTTTAAACACACACGTGTACAACACTGTGTGCAACAGAACAAGTAAAAACCATCTAAATTTGCATCAGTATCAAGTAACGACACCTACATACAAGAAAACACAGTGTGGCTGGAAAGAACAAACGGGACAGGTGCCTGGCCCCCTGTGAACAGTGACCACACAGCCGTAGCGATGCACCTACTGACCGCAGCAGCTTCAGTGACCACGCACCACAATTGTGCATGAACAAGGCCGTCCACGTAAGAGAAAACACACCACGATAGACCTGTCTGTGCTGATTCGGAAACGAAGGAGCAGCAGAACACTGTGCTAACACGCGTGGTGTGATTCCACCGTGGGAAAAAGGAGCCAGGCACTGAGCAGGCTTATCCACACCCAACTCTCTGCGAGGGGGCAGGCGGGACCTGTGGGAGGTGGGCAGAGACTCTTGCCCTTCATCTTCCATCCACTCTGGCACCTGCTAGCTTTGTGAACTTGGGCAATTAAGTGACTTATCTCTGTTCGCATTTGTCAAATGGGGATGGGGCAGATGTATCCCCGGCTGCCTCAGGAGTAAATGAGATGAGCAGGCACAGACTTGCTTTCAACCATCTCCACCTTTTACCCAACTGCCCGCTCCTACTCCAAGACTTGCGTGTGAAGCATCAGATCTGGAAGCAAATAGGATTATACACACGACTCCTTCCTCGATTACCACCGGGACCTAAACTCGAGACCTGGCTTTCACGCCCTCTCCACCGCTAAGGAAGCAGTTTGGTGAACCTCCCAACCTTTCCATAAATTACCTCCAAAAGGAGTAAGACACTTGCTGCCCTGCATTTTCTCTTCCTGTGAAACTTTATTCCAAAGCACTCGACTGCTACAAAGCACAACCAAGTAACTCTGTCCTAAACTCAGAAAGAAAACGCAGGCTTAGCAGCCAACAAACGCCCCAGAGCCAATGAGGCTGAAGAAAGCCAGAGGCCAGGGGCCCCTGGGGTGGGAGCTGGAGAGCTTTTACCTAACGGCACGGTGACGACCACGTGATGCGCTGGGAAGCAGCCTCCATCCTCACATTCCACCAGCACCGGAAACGTCTCCCCAGGAGCAGAAGCTTCCTCGAAGCACCCATCCCAGTGAATGGTCTTCACTGGCTTGTTAAAAACCATCACGTCCTTGGGCAGGGAGGCCATGATGCGGTCTGTGAGTCCTTGGTAGCCTCTGGGAGAGACAGAGGTGTCCCGTGGTTCGACCAGGCCCTGGAGGTGAGTCTCTGAAACAAGCCCTCCAAGCTCACACCAGATCAAGGAGCTGCAAGGGGCTGTGGTCTTGGCCTGGGGGCCTGGCTCAGCCAGGGAGGAGAGCAGGGAGGGAGGGGGTCTCATGGGAGGGTTAAATGAGCAAAGGGATGCGAAGGTAACCTGTGGAGAGCAGGTCCCTCCTCACCAAGCCCAGGGCTCTTGTTCTGGGCATCTGCCTGGTCACAGTGCCCTCCCTGTGCAGGGCAGTCCTGGAGAGTCTTGTGAGTGCCCCATGGGGGAACAGCCACATCGACACAGAGGAGGGCCTGTCTGCCCATCTCTGAGGTCGAAGCCCCCGCACAGTGCTTACAAGCAGGCGGCCTCCTAAATGTGGGAGGAGTTTTTGCAGTACGCGGGCCTCTCACTGTCGCGGGCTCTCCCGCTGCGGAGCACAGGCTCCGGACGCGCAGGCCCAGCGGCCATGGCTCACGGGCCCAGCCGCTCCGCGGCATGTGGGATCTTCCCGGACCGGGGCACGAACCCGTGTCCCCTGCATCGGCAGGTGGACTCTCAACCACTGTGCCACCAGGGAAGCCCTTAATCACTTGTTTTTGAGAACAATTCTTTTCTTTTTCATAAGTGAGCAAAACTAGGGAAGTAAATGACCAATCTCCCTAAAACAGGGAAGACAAACAGCCCCATGTCTCTCCCACCCATCCCCTGCCTGCCAAAGCTTGGCCTGAGGTACGGGTAGGGACCCCTGGGGTGCATGGGGGTACTTGGGGTGCATGGGGGACCCCTGGGAGGCACGGAGGGGTCTGGGTACACGGAGGAATGTCTGGGTGGGTGGGGCACGCACATACCCAGGAAAGGTGCAGTCCAACCCTGGCAGCACAGTGTACTCCCCGAAAGGTGCGAGGGCCACCAGGTCCATGCTGTGGGTACCGCTCACACAGCACTCCACGTTGAACAAGTTGTTCAGGATGGCCAGCTTGAGCCTCTTGGTCTCCTCCTCCTCTGTCCAGCCGGCCATGTGCTGGCGGATCTCCTTCTTGAGGTACTCCCCGACACTGGGGGCGGGGGTCTCAGCCGCATGCAGGAACTCCCTGGTCTGGTCTATGAGACTGTAGAACAGTCTGGCCATCTCCGCCACCAGCTCAGGGCTCACACTTCCCCCGGAGCTGGCATAGGACACAGAGGGCAGGCCCACGTGACCCCCAGTCTCGATCAGCTGGTTCTCCTCCGACAATGCCTTCTCCCCCAGAAGCCCGTACTTGGCAGCCAGCTGGAAGACGGGGTTGCCCTGCGAGGGCCCATGGATCCAGTGAGCGCCCACCTCCACCACACCACCTGGGAGGGAGCAGGAGAGGCGACTGTGAGGCTCCCTCACCTGAGCCCTTCTTCTGTACACGGAGCCCTGCCCTTCCCAAATATGCTCTGAAAATCAGCCGGAGGCCCGCACGGTCCCTGAGGACCACAGACTCTCCCGGCAGGGCCCATCAGACCTAGTTTAAGAGGAACACCCGGGAGGGGCGACCTGGAGGCTGGAGGGGGAGCTACCTGCGGGGCCAGAACCGGGGGCAACTGTGCATTGCCACGGGTTCCCCATGCACGGCAGGGGCCGGCCCTGCTCATGCGGGCAGCTGAGTTTCGGGGACCAGTGAACTTCGGTTTATTAACTGAAGCAGTGCGAGGATTCACTCAAGGGGCCAGATAAGGGTTCCGGGTCGCTTAACCCCGGACGGAGGCCGAGCCAGGAGTCGGCAGAGCTCTGGCGGCACGGATTGGGCTCTGGGAAGGGGGTCCGGGAAGGAGTTCCGGGAAGGAGTTCCGGGAGGGCTGTTACCGAAGCTGCGCTCCGAGCGGATGCGGCCACCGGCGCGGGCCGTGGCCTCCAGAACCCGCAGGTGCGGAAAGGCCGGGTGGCAGCAGAGCCTCTGCGCCGCACCCAGCCCCGCGATGCCACCGCCCACCACCAGCACCCGCGGGCCGCGGCCAGGGGCCTCCGCCTGACGGTCACTCGACTGCATCGCGCCGTCCAGGGCAGTTCCCGCGCGTCCCCGCCGCTCGGAGGCTCGGAGAGCCGGGAAGAGACGCGAAGTTGGCCCGGGACGCGGGGCGGGGCCGGAGTTTGAAGGGGGCTCGGGGCGCGGGGCGGGGCAGAAGGCGGGGCCAGAGGTGGACAGGGGCTCAGGGCGCGGGGCGGGGACACGGGGCGGGGCCGGGCACTTGGGGCGGGGCCGGAAGTGGATGGGGGCGCGGGGTGGGGCCAGAAGAGGAAGGGGGCCCGGGGCGGGGCGGAAGGCGGGACTGGAGGTGGAGCAAGGGGCGTGGGACAAGGCTGTCCCCCCCGCGTCGGCCCCCCTTGGCTCCGCGCGCCCCTCTGGTTTGGGCCTGGGGCAGCCCCTATGGGCCTGGCCCACGCCCTAGGATGGTAGCGGAAGGCCGCCGGGGAGGGCGAGGGCGAGTGCAGAAGGGTCCGTGAGTATTCCCCGGTACCGGCCGGTGTGGGCAAGCGTCCCCACCGAGGGAGAATCGGGGCGGCCGGCTGGCCAGTCGGGTTGTGTCCCCTTCCTAAGAAGACGTGGGGACTGCGACCAGAAGGCGGAGGAGGAGCCTCCTAGCTTCAGACGCGGAGGCGAGCGCCGTCACCTCCCGACCCGGTGGAGCGCGTGGACGGTGGGTGCTGAGATGTCAGGGCGGGACGGGGAGAAAGCCTCCAGGCGACGACACTTGTGTGTGTTGTGTGTGTATATACACAGTCACAAGTCTACAAACACAGGATGCAGCACACATAAAGTACAAAGTTCAAGATAAACGGTAAATGGAGAAACAAGTCTTACGTCCCCCCTCCCCCTCCGGCCCCAGGAGAGGAAGACATATTCAAGCCTGCGGCATTTCTGGAGAATTCCTCTGGTTCCCGCAGGTCTCCCCTACTGCCTTGCAGGGATTAGAAAGCTCCTGCCTTCTGCTAAAAGGGTCCTCAGGCTTCCCTGTAAACCCAGTTAGGGCACATCATTCCTTCTCAGCCACACTTGGGTACCGCTGCTCCAAACCACGGCGCACCCGTGCCTCCGTGGACTTTCCGTGGCCACCTGTTCCCTGTGGGGTGAGAGTAGTCAGGGAGAGGAGCTAGCTCCCAGGCTGGGTAGGTAGTCTTTCTGTCTGGGGTGTTCCTCCTTCTCCAGGAGGAGCCCTTCTCGCTCCCTGTGTTGCCCTCCTCAGCCATATATTCTTGTTCTTGGATTCACTTTCCTGTTTTGGTGAAGCTGAAAAGAGGTGTCTGGGAGATCATTTTTTTAAAGATATTGCAAAGCTGAAAATGTCTTCATTTTGCCCTCATAGTTGATTTGTAGTTTGCCTGGACATAGAATTCTAGGTCAGAATCTCCTTCCTTCAAACTCTGAAGGCATTGCTCCCTTTCTCTTCCCTCCTAGGAGTGTTGTGAAGAAATCCACAGCTATTCTAATTTCTAATCCTTTACAAGCAGTGGGGACATTTTCCTCCCTGGAAGTTTTTAAGATATTCTCCTGAAGTTTCACAACGTGGTGCTTCCATGTCCCTCGGTTGTTACTGTGTTGGGCACTCAAAGGGCCCTCAGTCTGGAAACTCCCATCCTTCAATCCTGGCAAATGATGTCATTGATTATTTCACTAATCAGTTGTTTCTACTGATGACTCATCCCTAAGCAAACTCTTGAGGGTTTACTCTTACCTCTTCCTAAAGTCCTTAATTCAGGCTGTCAGACTTTGAGTCTGGCCCTTGAATGCTCACGTATGTTCTCTCCTGTTTCCCACCTTTACATTTCTGCTCTCCTTTTGTTAGGTAGTTAGTCAGACATTAGCAGCAAGGAGGTGACAGTGGCGAGAAAGACGAGAAGAAGCAATCGAGTCACACCCAACCATCTGGGGACTCTCCCCTGACCCCACCCAGAACAGTTGAAACTATGGTCATATTGTGGGCAGCTTATCCTGTTAAAGAGGGGCACAGTAACACAAGGGAACTTCCCTGGGCTGCGCATGCCCAGACCAGACAGGTGTATAACCTATAGTGAACCCAAACTCATTATACCATCATTATAATAAAATCCATGTATGGTTTTGCCCCCCGCCCCCGTGGGCGTTTCTTAGCGATTGAAGGATGAGAGAATGCGCAGCAGTAAACTTGTTACAGAGCTTGGGACTGTCGATCAAATAATGATCCCCTGTCACTCGCCCCCGCCTCCCTGCAAAATGCTCCTTAAAAGCACCCTTAAGCCTGGGGGCTTCCCTGGTGGCGCAGTGGTTGAGAGTCCGCCTGCCGATGCTGGGGACACGGGTTCGTGGGTTCGTGCCCCGGTCCGGGAAGATTCCACATGTCGCTGAGTGGCTGGGCCCGTGAGCCATGGCCGCTGAGCCTGCGCGTCTGGAGTCTGTGCTCTGCAACGGGAGATGCCGCGACAGTGAGAGGCCCGCTACAGCATAAATAAATAAATAATAAATAAATAAATATCACCCTTAAGCCTGTACGGGAATGCTGCTTTCAATTCACAGAAACAGCCCACTCTCTCTCTCTCTCTCTCTCTCTCTCTCTGAGTGTACCTTTGCTTTGATAAACTTTGCTTTGGTCTTGCTTCACTTCGCTGAAACAGCCGGCTTTCTCTCTCCCTCTCTCTCTCCCCCTCTCTGGGAGTGTACCTATGCTTAAATAGACTTAGCTTTATGCTTAAGCTTCTTTGCTTACTATCGCGGAACCAAGATTGCTGGTCCGGGTCTTCCGTTGACCTCCTTGGTTAGAGCTATTTTGTTATAACGCACGTCAACCCGGTGACACTTTCTGTGTGATTTCTTCCATTGAGGCTTTCGTTTCTGCTGTCATAGTGTTCATTTCCAGGAGCCCTTTCTTCTCGTACAAATGCTTCTTTTTAGAAAGGGGAGGGTGTCTTCTTGCTTCATCTTCCAGGGAGATTGTCCTCGCTGGTCTGGAGGCGTGAAGTGCTATGCTTCTGCTCTGTTGCTGTGCTCTGGGTTCTTCTTCCTGTTTCTTTTGGCTCTGTCTTCCAGGAAGAAGCTCTCTGAGATGTCAGGTTATGTTTGTCTGTCTGCTGGTGATGAGGAATGGTAGACCAGATGGCTGTTTGTGAGTGGGGCTCATCAAATTTGAGCTTGATTCTGGGTAGGCTGTTATTTGGGGAACCTCCATCCATATCCCTAGGTCTTTCCTCTTGGGTTGGTCATGCTCCCTGGGAAGAGTCTTCCAGTCTCCTGTGTGGAGCATATAGACCTGGCTGCCAATACTTTGGGAGCCAAAGAGTGGACAGGAGTGGGGAGGGTCAGCTTACTGGATGCAGTAGACCCACCTCCAACTGTGCCTGCTGTCCCCTTCCTGGAATCCCTGTTTGCAGAGAATAGCCTCCCAGGATGCTGCCAGTCACCCAGTGCCACTTCCTGGAATGTGAAAAGGGGTTTAGGAATCTAACTGCTTCTTAAGCAATAAGACAGTACCTATGCAAATAATCAAGCTGTGAAGACTCACCCCTGAGTAACGGACAGAATCCCAGCCCTCATGGAGCTCAGTGAGTGGAGACAGAAAATAGTCGCATAAATACGTGGTCGTTTCTCCAATGAAATGTGCATGCAAGGGATGCCTGCCCTTTCAAAGAAAGGCTTGGGGAGAGCTGTTGCCGTGGACCCGAAGCAGTCCCTGAAAACTCTCCCATTTTGTGCCCAGACTGCAGGCTGACCGGCTGCTGATCCTGAGCAGTTTCGGTGGCTGGTCTTACAGGCCGCCAAGCAGGTCAAGGTGCCCGCGGCATGACTGCTAGCAATGGCCCGCTACCCGGGGGCCGGCAGCAGCGGAGGGTGGCTTGCGTGCTGCTTGCTGGGCCCGTGGCCCTGGGCTCTTCACTCTCCACTCCCCACCCCTGCACCCCCCAACCCGCGGAGCACCCCCTGCCCTTCCCCCGTCTCTGAGTCCTGCCTCCCCAAGCTCCTACCCCACCGCGGCCCGCGAGAGATGGCTGGTGACCCCCCCCCCCCCCCCCCCGCGCGCTTCACGCTGGTCGCGGTCCCCCCCCCCCCCGCAGGGAAAGAGCCAGGATGAAGCGCCCCGCTCGCAGCGGAAGAGGACGCCATGCGTGCCCGTCCCTGGCGGGGGCTCACCTCGTCCGGTCCCCGCAGGGCAGGAGAGGCACGAAGCCCGGCAGGGAGCCCAAGTCGCGCCTTCGGCGATGGCAGTGACCACTGGACCCAGAGGCGGCGTGGGGTCAGCAGCGCCAACTCCTAGCTAAAGCGCTGGGCCTGGGACCAGCCATAACGCTGAGCCAGACACTGGCCTTGTCACTCAGCCTGACATCCCGCAACTAATGAGGAAACCCCAGGCAACCTGGCTACTCTAATGAAACAGCCCATCTGCGTGCAGCCACCCTGACCCTGGTGTCCCTGTTTGCAGGGGGAAATTTTACCCCCCATTCTGCCACCTGAAGCAAAGTCCCCAGCTCAGTGTAGCTCCCTCCTGTGAGGTTCCCCCAAGGGTCAGCTAAGCTGAAGCCCAGCGGGGTCACTGGGCTGCTGCCAACGTCCCAGTGGTCTGGTCTACCCTGGGGACGCTTCAGCCTGCAGACCTTGGGTCCCAGCTCCACAGACAAATACACCACTGGTCTCTGGGTCCCTCACAGGTATGCCCACAGTGAGGTCCCTGGTGTAACCCCTGAAATCAAGCTACTGGTGCAGCCTCGTGGGGCTGTGAGAAGCATGTCTGTGTGCTCATCCTGCAGTGCAGGAGGCCTCCTTGCTGGGCCTGGGCCACTCCGGGCACACTGGGGCCTCTCTCTGGGCTGCCAGCGGGGCCCAATGGCTGCCGCCACATTCTCAGGTTGCAGCCCCACTGTCCTCGTCCCATCAGCTGACTCTGTCACCTTTGAAACTACCCTGTGTCCTGTGTTTGGCTTTCCCATCCCTTCACAGTTGCCACTGGCCATGCAGCAAGGGCCCTAGTCAAGGCCCTAGTCAAGGGCGAACAGGGGCTACTCTTCGTTGTGGTGTGCAGGTTTCTTATTGCGGTGGCTTATCTCGTTGAGGAGCACCGGCCCTAGGCGCGTGGGCTTCAGTAGTTGTGGCACAACTTCCCAGACCAGGGCTCGAACCCGTGTCCCCTGCATCGGCAGGCGGATTCTTAACCACCACGCCACCAGGGAAGCCCAGGCAGGTACCTCCTGACTGTCAGTTACAGACCTAAGGAGAAGGATCACCAACAGGAGATTCACTGCATCTCACAGGAAAGTGATGGCGCAGCTGCCAGGCCAACGAGAAGCTGTCAGCACCCTGAGCTCTCCTTTTCCTCCAACTGACTTTTCTTCAAAACAACCCCTCCCAACTTCCTCCTTTTTCTCTATAAAATAGAGAAAACTGGTAAAATAACTGGCTGTTTTATTTTTTAGGTTAGCAAGTTGAAAGTATTCTTTATATATTCGAGACACAAGACCCTTATCAGATCTATGACTTGCAAGATTTTTTCTCATTCTGTGGGGTGGCTTTTCACTTTCTTCATTGTATCCTCTGAAACACAAAAGTTTTTAATTTGAGTGAAGTCCAATTTATATATTTTTTTCTTTTGTCACTTGTGCTTTTGTCCCTAAATTACTTCATGAAGGATAGCAGCCACCTGACCTCAACACCAGCCCTGGGGGGGTTAGGAAAAAACTTCCTTTACTTTCGAGCCATTTCCCTTTGGGTACCTGTCACAGTACTGCAGCCCATACTAAGACAGAGGCTCCTTTGGTAAAGAGTTTTGGTAATGTTTCTCTTTGCATGAAAATGTCTTTAGTCTATCCTCAGCCCTGAAATAAAGTTTTGCTGAGTATTCAATTCTGATTTGGATTTTATTATTTACCTGAAAATATCCGTTTTGCTCTTCATTTGTAGATGACCTTTTTCTTTCTTTCTTTCTTTCTTTTTTTTTTTTTTTTTGGCCTCCCCACGCAGCTTGTGGGATCTTAGTTCCCTGATCAAGGATGGAACCCGGGCCCCAGCAGTGAAAGCATCCTAACCACTGGACCGCCAGGGGATTCCCACGTACTTGATCTTTTTATCTCCACCCTTGAATTTGCAGAACTTGGGCACGAATACAAACGGAGGCCAATAATATGTGTCTAAACATTTGAAATTTATAAATCAAAGTAATTTAATGATTTCATTGTTAAAGTTTAATTACATCTTATTTTATACAAATAAAACTATTCACAATCTAGTGTTCAATAGATACCAAGTTACCAATGTAAAGAGTGTTATGCTGCACTCCTGTTATATCTAGACCTATAAATACATACATTTCAGAGTGATATGAATTGTTTAATGTTGCAAAATGTTCCTCAGCCACCTCGTGCAGCTGCTATGAATAATACTGCACACACTTCATGAGCACCTGGACCACGAAATGGGACAGGAAGAGAAATAAGAAGGTGGATGTTTGCCACAGTGCTTGGCAATGAAAAACTCAGTTACATGATGCCTCTAAAAGGAAGCATTTTGTTAATAATTTATCTTTTCCTTGTCTAAGCACTTACTTCTGCCTCTCAACTCCTTCCCACACTGCTTAGCAGTATTATCTGATTTCTCCGTGCTATTGAAACCAAGTCCCCCTAAAACCAAGTTCCCTTACTGAGTTCATGATTCGTCTCTCCACCCAAAACTTTATTCCCTTTCTTGTTCCCTCTGACCTCAATCCTGTGCTAACTGAGCACTAATCAACCAGAGTCAGGTGACTAAGATGGCTGCTGTTGATAATATCGCTAATGTACTGAAATTGCCATTGTAGACACCATCGTTAATACACACTCAGGTTGTTTCTCCAGGGCAAGATGAGCTCACAGACCCCCCAGCCATGGACCGCCTGGCCTGAGAATGTAAACCAGAGACAGCCTGACTCCTGAAACTAGATTCACAAACGTCACAGAAATGTCACAAAACGATGATGAATCCCAGCCTCTTTCTTTGTTCCCCTTTTTAAAAAATCCCCTCAAAGATCAAGTTGGTCGGAGGCTTATCTGAGCTGGTCTGAGTGGATCTGAGGCTTGTCTCCCACTCCTTTGCTTGATGTCCTATAAACGCCCGCTGTCAGAGTCTGGCTTTCTGCGCTGGTTACAACTGCACGTTGCCCTGAGGGCTGACTTCAGGTCACAAGTGTATCCGCCCAGCTCTAGCGAGCTCCAGTCTACCCGTCCTCAGCAAGTTTGGCTTTCCATGCCCCACAGCCACTGCCTCCAGCTGCGAATCCGGGACCCAGCTGTGGCTCGAGGCGCAGTCACCCGGGTGTGGGGACGACACGCTTGCCCCGCACCCAGACACACGCCGTTTCCCGGAAACGGCGGGAAGGGCCAA